ACCAGAGGTCAATGTTATGACCTTATTTTCAAGGTTATGGCATTTTTAGCTCGGACAAAATGCCATCATGTCTACATTTTGATAACCCGGCCAATGTCACAGAAACATGTTTAAAGTATCGATTCATACTAAAGTGACATATTGCCGATCATTTGAAACTATTACTAAGATCACCATAGGTCAGGGTCATATCCTTATAACAAGGTTGTCATAATATTTAAGAAAAATTGATTTTACACTTATCAAATACAACACAGGTGATTGTTTAAAAAATATTTCATTACAGAAAAGGCATCGCTGCTACTGCATATTACTCATTTAAATAAATGGCATGCAGTTTACAAGGGTTAAGGGTATACTGTACCCAATTCAAAACCACTAGGGCCTAGGTGTTATATCTATGTTTAAATAAAGCTGTGTGTTTTACATTATACAGGAACTAAAAGTACACTGAAAACTTAATAACAAAATATAAACATGTTTCATACTGGGCAAAGACAGCCTGTTATACAATCACCATTGTAGCCTCACATAAGACATGTAAAAAATTGGAATATTCAGAATCTTATTACAGCATTCTATACTACTGCAATGGGGGAATTAATTCATGTTGGGTATATATATATATATTTAGATAAAACATTCTGGAATTAGAAACGGGGACGTTTTATATTGGACACAGGCTGGGGGTACAAACTGCCAGTAAAAAAACCCAATCATACAACCGGTGGTTAGTTTACAAGGAATGAAACAACCATATCAGAAGTAGGTAAGCAGTTTCCCTGGGGAAAAATAACCAGGTGGGATGGCACCTTTTTATGGTATTTACCTTCTTGCCCAGAAGTCAGATTGCTACACCATTTGAACATCCGTAACAAATAACTTGGGTTTCTCTCCAGCTTTAAAAAAAATTATCAAATGTTGATTTCTCAGATATTCACTTCCAATGCTTCTCTCAAATCTTCAAACTTACTAGCCACAAGTTTATCACAATTGCTAGCTGTGGGTCTATAACAATAGGTCTACATGTAGATGTGGCATAGCAGAGATAGGTATAGGTCAATAAGAGTCCTTTTCAGAGAAGAAATACATTTTCCTGGACAAATTTAAGGAGCAATTTGACTGCATGATGGACAGTGATTAAAAGGCAAATGTGTCCTCTGCAGATAAGTTGGACTATTTGCTTCAATGCAACTTGAGGATATAAGGTAGTCTGCATTAATGCACAACATTCAATAAGCATTTATTACCACCTGATCGCTTAATAGTTGTCAGAAGGTTATTTCTACATGGTCAGATCCAAACTGAAGGATACAAAGTCCCTGCTACAACCGTTTGTACGTCCCTTGTCCTTGGTGCTTTGACCATCAAATACAGGCCTGTAGCCAGTGGCATTCTGGATAAAATTTTATCTAATTACACAAATATTTCTTGGTAGAAGGTCCACTTTTTCAGAAAAAAAGCCCCCCTCCCCCTTTTTGAGACCGCAAGCTCGACACAATGACTGTCAACTGAGCTGCAGCAATGTAAACGAAGGATGATGATGAGAGCCTGTAGCCAGTTTCCTATCCTAACAGACCTGATAAAAACTTCCAGGTTGCAATCATGTCTCAGTTCTAGTTTTCCAATCTGACAGGAGCTGGCATGATATGAAAACATGTAACTATACTTTTGACACAGATGAGCACACCACGAAACAGCAGCTTTAAAGTTTATCGACCAACACATACTACACCTAATAGAGTGTTCACTTGCGGTGAGCAAGTTCTTTCCAGCAAATGACCTTCAGCTTATTTCAGAATCCCACTGCAGGACCAAGAATTGGGATATTTAGGAAAAAAGATGCTGAAATGACACTCAAAGTGCACCATCTACAAGTTTGTCTTCACACAAAAAAGTTCTTAATTTCCCACTCAGCCCATTAAAATTACCCAATTAACCCAAGTACCGACTTGTGTCAGCATGCTCAGACGGCTTGGGAGAGGGTATAGCTCTTACAGCTCACCCATCCATGATGGAGCTAAAGGTATTGAATCGACCATTAAGATTCAACACACTTTACCATTGGCAATTCAGTAATGGCTGGTCTTTGGTTGTCATAAAAGCAACCAAATACAGATACTGATTAAATGGACAAATATGCTTTATCCACTATCTCCTCTCTACAATGGCACACAGATACTCCAAAGTAGATCATACATAAAAAGGTAGGACAAGAAGGCTTTAGGTCAATTATTGGGCAGACAAGAAGAGAGCTTACGCCTATAGCACCTGTATTAAAATTAAGTATTTACATCAAACCACAATTAGTGGGCTCAGGTCGCTCTACAAAATGTAACATTTGTCATAAAGAATGGAGATGCATATTTTGCTCTTAAACAATCTTATGTGTTGTATTTAGCACACCCTAGAATCAAATTTTCATTAAATTTCATGATGTCCTTGCAATAAGGTCAAGCCTGTACCTCCTAGATTTTGGAAATAGTTGAAAATGATAAACAGGGCCCCATTTACAAGGCATTAATTGGCATGCTTAACACGTTTCTGACACATTTGGTAATTGAGAAAGTATGGGATTTTGCTTGAAAACCTCATGACCTTGTAATTATAAGTCATAAACTTAACCTCTGGTGACCTTTAAATTAGTTGCAACTGATTGTTTACTTCTCATTTAGAAGGAATTGATACATTTAACATGCATGATTTAGTGGCATACGGTTACCAAGATATAGATAATATGATATCATTCACTTGAAAAATACCATGACCTTGAAATTTTTTCATAATATTGGCCTCTGGTGACCTTGAAAATAGAACTTTACAAGTGTTTGGCAGTGTCCCACTTGGGTTATATTGTTTCTTATAACATGTTTCTAAGACACTGGGAAACTGTCACATAGACATTAATTTTTTTTTTTTGCTCCAAAAATCCCTTGACCTTGTAATAAGATCATGGCCTTGACCTCTAGTGACCTTGATACTAGTTGCAAAAGATTGGGGATCCCTCACTTAGTAGGCGTTGATACTTAAAACATATTTCTGTGACACTTGGAAACTGTCATATAGACATTATGGGTTTTTTTTCTCCAAATTTGCCTTGACTTTGTAATAAGGTTATGACCTTGACCTCCAGTGACCTTGAAACTAGTTGTAAAAGATTGGTGATCCTTCACTTAGTAGGAATTGATACTTAAAGCATGTTTCTGTGACATTGGGTACTCAAGTTATGGATTTCAAGTCCACCCACCCCATTCAATAGCGGCCATTTTGGATTTTTGTGGAAAATGAGACTTTGCCATGGGGGGATTCATGGGGAAAATTTTTTGGGCTATATTGGGCCTTCAACGGACCAGAATCAATTGAGAAACCTTTGTCACCAATTTTTTCCAACCTAAGTTGTTTATTGACTGGCATGTGCAAAGTTTTATGGCGCGGGAACATTGCAAAACTCATTTATATCTGGGTGCAAAAACTTTAAAACGAGTGCCCTCAAGGACCACGAAGTCAGCAAGTCACATATTTCAGCGCTTTCTACACTGTCAAACAGAGAGCCTGCGAGTTCCGCGGCAGTCGCAGGAAGTACGGCAGGCAAGGCTCTCCTAGCCCTGAAGTCGGCAGAACGAAGTCGTTTAGAAAGCATGGTAAGGGAGACAAATAATGTTTGAAGAGATTAATACTGTCTTGTGAAGTAGTTTAGTGGTTAAGTCAGTGAAAGTTCTCAATTTATTTCATAGAACTTTACATTTAAACTTGACGTTTCACTTTTTTATTTTTTCATTTTTTTCCTTATTTACTGCTTCAAGGTCCGGAACGCCCATTATATTGCTAAAATGAATCGTCCGCTGACGGATTTTACTTCACTTGTCGTCTTGGATAGAGCCAAAGGCCTGGACACTGCAAACACATACAAGAACAACAGGGCCGCTCTCGGGTTCATCGAGGCCATTGCTGCTCAGGAGAAAAGCAGAATTGTCCAGAGTGTGAAAGAGGCTCCTTTTTTCAGTTTCATTATGGATGGCAGTAGTGATTTGACAGGTAAATCCATGTCTGAATATCCTGGATACCTTATCATTAGATGTTTTGCATGAATTTTTTATTTCTGTGAAATAGTATATATTATAAACTTCGTCTTTATAAGTTCACTCAAATG